TAAATAGAAAAATCATTATAATAATCAAAAAAAAGAATTGATTTAATAATTCAAATTGCAAATTATAAATGCCAAAACATTTATAATAATATCGAATTACTAATTTTAAATCAAAAAAGATTTTCACTTAATAATTTGTTAGATTTTGTGTCTAATAATTGGTTAGCTAATTGTAATCTAGACATAGTTAATTTTATTAATACTCTCACTTGTAACAAAAATAATAACCATAGTGATCACACTACAAATGAAAAAACTTTCAAAAAAATTGTTGCAATTGATACAATATATGGATCATAATATAAAAATTATATATCAGAAATAAATCTAGCCATATCAAGAAACAAATATTCACTATTGCAATCTAAAACAATTGTTGATATCGATAATCATGTAGTTAGTTCTGGAAGTTATACTAAATTTGTTAACTGGCTAGAATTATTAGCAATTAAAAATAAACTCTTATCTAAAGGACTTTTATTCTTGGCTTTCGATAATGAACAATGAGGTCAATTTAACTATCTAGATTGCAGTTATAACACAATTATTTATTATATAGTTACAAGTTTTGTTGTATTAAACATGAACAAAATGATCTAACTCAATTTGTAAATACACCCTGGTATACTAACTTGTTAACTAATAAAGAATATAAAGAGCTATATTATCTTATACCAGGAATGAAAAAAGAGTATGAATTAGAATTAAAGATATACTTATTGTTGATTTTAGAAGATCTTATAAATGAAAAAGATCAAAAAATAAATATTATAGATCAAAGTATAAAAATTAAAAAAGAATCAAAGGTTAATCAAAGTGGTGTAAAAAATGTAATACAACCAATATTGATAATAAAAACATATATGCTCTAAATATAATGAGAAATTAGATACATTAGCTACTTTACATACAGAATCGGCTAAAGAACTTGAATGATTTAATAACATGGCCTCTCAATCAAAATCTCTCATAATAAAGTCTTATTTATATACTTACGAATCAAAAAGTCCTTATTTCGAATATATTAGTATTATCCAATACTCAGAACCTAATAATAATGTGATTGTTCTAGAAATATATATATTAGATCTATTAGAATTTAATTCTAATTCAATAGATAATATTAAAAAAGTTTTAGAGTACATACAGAATATTACAGGAATAGATCAAGAAACATAAAAATGATTACCAGTTACTTGTAATTGTATTCTTTATAATCTAGCACTAAAAATTAAAAAAGACTTTCTGTGGCTTGTACTAATTTCTGGTGCCCTGTATGAAGAAATAAATATACTTAATTGGTGATTCGCCAGTCAGCCAGTGAGAGATTATAGTGTAATATGATACAGTTTACTTATAGAAATTAGAGTTTTGTGAATATGGGCTGCATCATTCTAAAACTTTTTTTTGTACTAAGTTAACCACCTTTGGGCTTCTAATTGAAATTGTAGAGCTCGTTGAGAAAAATCTAATGGTAGTTGAATCGTCAAAATTAGCCTTGTGGATCATAAGATATCATTGAAAACATTTTGCCAACTATGTAAAATTCTCTTGGTGATACTATTGTCAAAAGAGAGAATTTTACATAGTTGGCAAAAGGATTTTCGAAGATATCTCATGATTCACAAGGCCAATTTTGATGATTCAACTACTATTAGATTCCTTTTAATAAGCTCTACAACTTCAATTAGAAGCCCAAAGGTGGTTAACTTAGTATAAAAAATTTTTAGAATAATGCAACCCACATTCACAAAACCCTAATTTCTATAAATAAACTGTGTCATGTTATACTATGACCTTTCACTGGCTGACTGGCGAATTACCAATTAATGTATTTGTCAAATTAAACTGGTATTATTGTTTTATAATTATTGTTATATAAAATTAATTCTAAATTTTATTTATACTAACATGTTTCTCTAAGGATGATCGATATCAAGCAATTCACTATTTTTCAAGAATACAAGACTGAAAACCAACTTGGATATTTTAAAAAATGTATCGACCATTACAAATTGTGAAACTCTATTTGCAATATCTATCAGTTTGCTATTGCATATAAATTATTGTGGCCATACATAGTTGTAACTGAAAATCTGTCAGTTGATAGCTATCTAGATTGGGCAAAAAAACAAAATGATCATATATATAAACTAAAATTTGAACAAGTAAGATTTAATAAAAGATAAATATATATATTGCATAAAAATTTAACCAATGATTATTATAAGTATTTATCTATCTCCAGGCAATTATTAATTTTCATACAGGAGTTAAAAACAATCAACCATCATTAATTAATACTGCTTAATAAATATTTGCTCCAATATGATCTGGTCATAGATATTCTATATACCACTTAATTGAGGTAACATACAAAGAGCAATTGATGTGGTTAAATCTTGAAGTTAGATGATGTATAGAATCATGCTTAGTAATTTTATAATCAGGATATTATAACTAGCATCAAAATCTTGATGCTATTCTCGAAGAAGTTAATAAATCTTTGAAGGCCCTAATTTTACCTGTACCTTTACAAAAATATTGGAGAATAGCAGCATAGAATTGTACGAAGTTTATAAAGGTTAGTGAAACATGGTTTAAACCTATACATTAAATAAAAAAAAAATTAATAATACAAATATTTTACAAAAATTTATAATACATATCTTAAAATTTTAACTAGCTACATCATATATTATTTAATATAATTGGGCATACTGATAATAAATCATTAGGAGGTCGATCTTATCCAGACTACACTATAGAGTTCCAATGATTTCAAGTTCAATTATGAAAAACTAGGTTTTTGAACCCTCAAACTGATGATCGCATATTTAAAAACCTTGGGGAGTCTCTATTTAGTGAATAGCTAAAAAATTTTAGTAATTTAGCATATAAAAGATGAATAATATTTATTAATAAAACATTTAAACAAAGCAAGTTGAATCACTTACTCTAGCTAATACCTATTACTGCTCAAGAAGAAGCAGCTACTATAAATAAAAAAAATATGTTGAAAGAAGAACTTTTAAAAATTATCAATTCATTGCTAAATTTAGTTAATATTTCTAATAGTTCGAAGTACTGTAGATTAAGGCAAAAAACCATACCCAATTACAAGAGATCTTACAAAATATTAGAGATCTTCATAATTAGCAAGATAGACTTGAAAATGAAATAAAACTAGAAAACTAAATGAATTTATAAAATAATAATTTTTGTCAATTTTTATTGTTGTAATAGTCAAAAATTACTAACAATATATTTTTTTTTATCTTTATTAGAATTAAAATTATCTTTGGCAGTTCTTACTAATTTAATAGTGTCATGCTTGAATTTGGCATCTGTTTGAAGTTGCAACTTCTGGTGCTTGAAGTTGCATTGATTAAAAATTAGCTTCTGAAACTAGATACATATCATTTCATCAATGATCACTTTACCGAGTATCCTATCACATGGTATAAGGGAATAATACAGTAAGATCTCTCTAAGTGCACACTCTATAAGTGCATGTACTATATAAATTCTCTATAAATGCATAGCATAACTTGGCCCAACTTATAAGAGCATTATATATTTTGCTCTCTATAAATACATTCTCTTTTTAAGTACACGTTTTGCTTTTTTTTGACTATGGTCCTGAGGGGTGCACTTAGGGAGGTCTTACTATATTGAACAATAATATTAATCATCAAACAATCATTAAATATTAATCATTGCATTGTATAATGAGGTGTTCAGTGAAGCAATTGTTGATGAAATGATATGTACCTTTGAAACTAGATCTTATTGTATATATTATTTAGCAATTTTTGGCAGGTTTAACTTCAGATGCTTGAAGTTATAACTTCTAATTCCAAGTACATGCTAACTTCAAGCACAACAATTATCATCATCAAAAATTATCTTGTTCAATGACGATTCGCTTCTGAAGGTTTTAAATATCGATTAAATACATTTTTTCGTATAGTCCTATAACTATTAAGTCATATTCAATTAAAAATTTAACACACAATTACTCAATTCAAATGCTTTTTACTCAACACCCACGTGTCTATATATTCTTATCTCAATATTTGAGATTGGATCAACCAAACATTTTTCATTAATATGCTTGAAATATACTTTATTCGAAGCTAAAATAGATATGTTCAAAAATTTTTAGTTAAAAACAATATATTTTTTAAAATAAGCTCATGCAATGTTTAATTATATTGCGTTAATTCTGTAATTATAAAAAAGTACTAATTAAAATAACTAATATAGTATTAGTAGACAAGTATGGTTAAATTTTTTCTATATACAGCTATATATATAAATTTTTATCCAATCAAATTTAGACTTATCAATAAATTCTTGAATGATCGTATGATGCAGATCATTACTATATTTGGATATACCAAATATGGAAGAATCCCTAACTGAAATCTCTACTATCTACATATGGGCCAATTTTTACAATTCAAATATGTCACCTGAATTTGAACGTGATATCTAAAAATAGAATAACCAATAAAAATAATAATCAAAATAAAAAATTTATATACTATACACATGTATGGTACATTATGACTTAACAAAATAACTAGTAAATGCCAACTTTGTCAAAAAATATTTTTTACTCAAAAAGAACTTGTATTTCATGAAAGAATCAGACATCGAAATAACAAAATTATATTCCACCGTTATTTATTTATTCAACCTCCTTTTGAGCAAATCCTGATCTATCAGGATACATTTATAGTTCTTATTAAAAAGCATCTTGGTTTTAATAGGCACAAAACAAGTTTCTATTAATGCTTTTCCAGAAAATATATTTGTTTACCTTTTTGAAAATAAGCCTTCTTTCTGATATAGTTCTGTGCAATGAAAATATTCTTGTTCATTTTAGGGTGAAGCTAGAGAGCAAAGATTAAAGTAATTGATCAATTATGACTATTGGAATGTTCGACAGAATCTGAAATTAAAAACTAAAAGTTACGTTTTATTTATAGATAATGACAGTTCTTACGAAGTTACCTTCAGTTAGACACAATCAGAGTTAAAAGAGAATGATTATGTTTTTCAATGTGAAACTGCTACTTGTAAATTTGTAGCAGATTCCAAAGAATTTGCTGAACAGTAAGAATTAAAAGATTGGGATTTTTATTAATATAATGCTTTAACTATAACTAATTATTAATTTATTTGTCTTATAAGACCTGCTGTAACTCAAACAAATCAAGATATCTCACAAGCATTAAACCTACTGCAAGTTCATGACGTTGATTCAAACAAGAGTTCTTTGAAAAATATAGGATCCTCCCAAAATAGTTATAGATATATATTACCCTGTGTCTCTTTTCAACAACTTAATAAATAAACACTAAGGTAAATATATTAAAGTATAATATTATTTTATTTTTCAATTCTAATAATAAATATTAAATATACAACTAGCAGTCGATATAATTAATATAGATCGAAAAAGATAGACTTTTTTTTTGCATAAAATAAATATTACTTGAATATTGCAACTAAACATTTTTTATTTAAAAGTTCAATATATGATGATTTTAAAAAAATCAGCATTTAGCATTCATTTATCATAATAAATCTATCAAAAAAAAAATGCCAAAGCTATATTTAAATAGAATTCGTAATAACTCAGATATTCTGATGAAGTATACATGATTTGTAATTGCCAGTTAAAGTTGAAAGTGATTTTAATAGAATTTACACTATTAAAATTAGCATAGCAGAAACTCGTATTTTGATAGAAAATCACGGGTTTAATGAGTCATATGCCTCAAAATAAATACAGGTGATAAACCAGTTATAAATTATACAGATAACTAGTAGATATTAAATCAACTAACGCCAAAATTACCCTATCAAATTTAGAGACACGTATGTACATATACTAATATAATACACTTATATTAACAATTCAAATATAATTATTTAGCATTGATTAATGCCATCAAGCTCAGTTCTAACTTTCACAAACATTTTCTGTCATAGTCTCCTAACAATTACTTCCCCAGCGTAATTACTTCTCTATCCTACTCAGGATAGCCACTAAAATTAGCTACTTAAAAATTGATCCAAAGCTAAGTATTAATTTATTTGAATTATCTGAAAGATTTATTTAGTTACTGCAAATATTGAATGCAACTATGAGATATCCTAAATGTTTAGGTTCGAACTTAATATAAGGCATAATTTAAATTTAATATCCGATTCAAAATACTGATATTTGTAGATTAGTTCTATATATAAAGGAACCTTGTTGAGTAGTAAATATTAGACAAGCATTAAAAAAAATTATTTCATCTGTCTGGTTCAAAGACAAAAATAAATCAAAATTTCTATGATTTTTTTAAGCAAGATAAGTAAAATTACATACTATAAACTTCAGTATTAGCCTATTAAACTAATGCTTTTATATAATCTAGGTTTGAAAATTATATGTAACATATATTATTTTGTAGTGAACTTCGGATATATGGTTTATTTTCTAATTCAAAAGTTAATGAGTATTCCATAGTATTTCGGTGTGCTAAGGATAGAAATATTCGTAAGTTTTTATTTTAAATTTTGTTAAATTTATATAATCTACACTAAATTTATTTTATAAATTATATTCATGCTGATTTTCATAGTGGTAACATTTTTCATGCTAAAGGTACTTCTTATTTTTCAGATAAAATAATATTTATGAATTACGTTACTTCAGAAGTTTTGTCAGAACAATAACATTTACACAAGAAGCAGATATTTGTGGGTTTGGTTCAAGGTATTAGCGAGTCAAAGGTTTTTTGATAGTTATATAAATTAGAGTTTGTTTTTAAAATATTTGATTGTTATATTAAATAGGTAAATTAGCGTTGAATTTAGATTACAACCATTTTCAAAATAAGATGTTGTGAATGAAGTTATAAGGTATCCATTTGTCATGAGATCACTCACACCTATGATGAATGAACGATTTGTAAAGGTATCGATTATAACTAATTTGTAAGTATGATGTATTGTGTGATAAATATCGATTTATTGCAAAATTATATGAAATTCGAAGATTATTAAAAAAAAAGTAATTACTGATTTCTGATTACTGATTTCCGATTTCTTCAACATTCTTTTTGACTTTTAGACTTGACAAAATTTGCATATTTATTATTTGTAAAAATTTGATTGAATATTTTAATTCGCAACTCCTATTTCTGCAAATATATTACAAAATGATGAGTATGCAACTTTTATTTCTATAAAAATAAAAAATTTTTACAAAATTATAACTATACAAATTTTGTCTAATCTAAAAGTCAAAAAAATGTTGAAGAAATCAGAAATCAGTAATCAGAAATTGTGATTACTTTTTTTTTAATGATCTTCAAATTTCACATAATTTTGCAACCGCAATAAATTTTACATAATTTTGCAAACCACAATAATTAATTAAGTAATGGATATAACAATTTGTGAAGTATGATGTATTGCATAATGAGTATTGATTTGATTTATTGATGATAAGTATGTAAATGGTTATTTAAGAAGAGAAAAATACAAATTTGTTTTTCTTCTTTTGTAATTGCTGCTAGCTTAATACAGGTCTAGCTTCATTGTTGATATTCACTTATCTAAAGAAAATATTTAGTATTTTGGAGTATTTGGTAGTTATGAGTAGGATCAATAGCCCAAGATACTTCAATAGTCTAATTAAGCAGTTTAGATATAAAAAATAAAATAAAATAGATTAAATGATATTAAGAATTAGCTGTAGATCACATGAGATCCTATATAGTTTTTTATAGTTGTGTTTTGGTGATTGAGTAACAAAATGTATAAATAATTTTATATATCTATATGAAAATTTGAAAAATTTAAAAATTTAAATTAACAAAAATTAAGCTTCCAATTAGAGTGAGTTTTGAAAACTTTAGACATTTGAGAAATATTTGTATTAAGAAAGAGATTATTAGAAATATAAATTTTAAAAAATGATATAAATTTTTATATAGATATAATTTTTAAAAATATAATTATTAAAAAATAAATTTGTAATAATAATTTATTAATTTATATAATAAAATATAAAAATTTAAATATAAAAATAAATAAGTTATATAATATTTTAAAAATATTTTTATAATTGTTCAATATATTCTATTGCTTCTTGAAGATCTTTATCTATATTATTATTATTATTATTATTATTATTATTTTCATCATTATCACTATCACTATCACTATCATAATTATAATTATTATTTATTTCTTCTTCTAAATTTTCTTCTTCTAAATCATCTTTAGTTAATTCATCATTACCAGTTTTTTCTAATCTTTTTAAAAATAATTTAATATTTAAAAAAATTCTTTTTTTGTAATATTGTAAACAATAATTACATGTTAAATATAAATTATTATAACAATTTGTATGATAAGCATGTTTACATATATATACTTTTCCATTTAATTTACTAAATGATTTTTTGCATTTATCACATGTATCTTTGTTGGTTTATATGATGTAAGATAACCTGTTGAAAGACATTTAAGCTCTACATTTTCATTTAATCCTGCAATATAATATTTTTGATTTTGTATTTTTTTGCTATTATTAAGATTAAGATAAACTTTTTGAAAATATTTTATCAAAAATAAACTACTTTTTTTTGTTAAATAATCTAATTGTTTAGAATTATATACATATGATTTTTTTGATTTAAAAACATCAAGTTGAGTTTTGTTACAATTATAATCTAAAATATATGCTTGTTGTTTAATTTCTTTAATAGTACTATGTGAATTAATATTTGCATGAAGATGACTATGCATATTTTCTACAAAATAGTCATTAAAATTTACCAAATAATTAGATAAAACTTCAGCTAATAGATAATTTATATCATGCCAATAAAAATAATCTGAAAGAAATATTAAAAGTGCTTTGTTATAATTTTTTCTTTCCTATCTTAATGCAAATATCCATAATCGAAATATAGTCTCAATATATTGATCAAATAAACTTGATCTAAAAGTATAGCATATATATCTAATGTTGCAGGTATTAAATTATCTAAAATATCTAATAACATACGATATTCTACATCTTTACATATAATATCAAATTTAGCTAAAATTATATGAGCTATAGCTTTTCATCCTTCATGAATTAATTCTAAAATTAAATTAATTCTCTATAGTCTTGGTTTTTTAGCTAATTTTTTTTATCACCAAAAACAAAATGAAAAAATTGTTCAAAAAAGGTATAATGAACAAAAAATACTTGTTCTCAAAAATTTAAAGAAACACGAAGTGGATCTAAAATTGGAATAAAATTTTTAACATTATTTGGAATTGAATTTGAATTTAATCTAGCTTGTGTAATTATTTTTCTAATAAATAATTGTCTTGGTCAATCTGCAATAACTGGAATTATATTATTTTTTAAATATTCTGATAATGAATTAATATTTGTAATCATTTTAAGAGCTTTTAAATAATCATTCATTGAATGTAAATTTAATTTTTTAACTTTATCTGCTCTTATATTTTCATTGATCATTCTTTTTTTCGTTCTTTAATTGCATTATCATATATATGTAAAGTTAATAAATCTATATGATTTTGAGAATTATGTTGAAAGTTTTGAGAAGATATCCATTCCATTTTGTATTCATTATAACTTTTATCAAAACAACTATTATATTTAGAAGTTAAATTAATTATAATTCTAGTTGGCTCAATATTTTCTGGATTAAAAAAAAGAATGATTATTTAAAATTGCTAGAATTGGTTGTTGATTTTCAATTGGTTTAGTTACACATGTTGCTAAATGATTTGCAGTTGAAAGTGTTGTATTATTTGGTTGTCGTAATGTATGAATATCATGAAAATCATTAATATTAAAGCAATAAAAATTATTTAACTAAATAAAATTAATAAGTATATATTATTATTTTTATAATAAAAATTATTAAAAAAATAAAATAATTTACTTACATGAGAACTAAAATATTTATTAATTTTTATTGAATGATTATTTTTAATTTTTTCTTTATAATTATATAATGTTTTTGAATTTATAGTTATTCCAGCTTTCATAAGAAAATCAATTCCAGTTGCACTTAATCCACAAGATGATAAATATAAACTAAGATCAGTTTTATATTTATTTACATTTTGACTATGTAATCTAGCTAAAAGATGACATTGACTAATAATTTGTTGTTGTGCTTTTATTTTATTTTTTTAGTTCTTCTTTTAGGAACTAAAGCATTAGTCATTTCATCTAAAAATCCAATTAATTGAGGTTCTTCTGTTTCAATTAATTGTTTAAAATTATTAGAATCTAATAAATAATCATTATTTTGTTTTTC